ATGCACTCCTATTCAGAACACTTTTTCAATATTTTCCAGTTTGTCCATAAAGACATTGAAACTTCTTTTCATTCAAATCCGAGTCCTGAACCACCCGAGTCCGGGACCTGGAGCGCCTGGTCCTGTCACCCCTTTTATCTCCCCGACCCTTCACCGGATCCTGCTCTGGTTTTCAACTTTGTCATGTCTGTCTAAGATTGGATCACCCGGCTCTGGACTTTTGCCTGCACTGGATTTCCCTCCGGACTCCCCTTGGACTGTTTCCCTGGACCACGCCCCCTCGAGCACCTGCGCACCTTCGTCATTGCCCCCCTGTTCGTCTACCAGCCCCGATCCTAGTCTTCTCTCCCTGTGTTAGTTTCACTCCTGGATTCTGCTGTCTGCATAGGGTCCTGAAAAACGCTTTCATAACAATAGTTTTTTCTGTACTTATTTAATGAATATGTCGCTCAAACATATGCATTAAATTAAAGCTAAAATGTTTATTTTAATTAAAAAGCATTGCAATCAAAATATGTACTAAAAATTGTTTCTGTTCCTCGAGTGTCCTGATTGATGTAAGCTGTAGGATGAATACAAACATGGTAGTATATGTATTTATAAAATGTATTTGTAGGAAATTCATAATTATTGAGACCATAATCACACAAGACCCTTTCTAAACTTGTCAATGTATCCTTTGCTGATTTTAACTGTATGCTTCTGTATATACAAACCAAACATATAATTGCACCAAAGGCTTTTTCAGTATTAGAGTTTTCTATCATCATTCTGAGTATAGGGGATTTTGAACCAATACAGACCAACAAAAATATTCCTCAGCTAAATCTTTAACCACATAATAAGAAGTTGTGGATTGTGGCGTTTACTCATGTTATATTGTGTATATACAGTATATATATATATTATGAGCTGTGATTGGAACATCTGGAATAAAATTTAGACATACTATAGAAGTCTTTAAATGACACCCATTGGCAAAAATCTTTCTGTTTTTTAAATAATGGTCAGATAGGGACACATCCAAGACAACACAGATGATAAAGTATTGATATGGGATTGGTATATTCCAGCAGATGTCTCTAAAGTTAACTCCACCAATAACTCTACATGGGTACATGTGTGATTTGTTACATGAATGGATTGAGAAACAGGATACTGTCATAATTCAAGATTAACGTGCTTCAAATCAGATTAAAAGTTTCTGGCAGCATGGCCTCACATGCACAAAAAGTAAAATCTGAGCCGAAGTGACATTATCAATGAATAAAAAAATATATTATTTGTCTCACTGTTTAGTTTTTGTGTTCCATATACAGTAAAACACCCCCGTATATGGAGAGTTCAAACATTTTTTATTTAAAAAAAGATACAATTACAGATATTAGAGTTTAAACATGAAGGTAAATTGCCTTTCAGTATTTTCTGCTATGAAACATCGTACAAGCTGTCCTGAATGAGCTGAGACATTTTCTAGCTGTGACTCAAATGCCTTACTGTCAGGCTTATGTTCATTATTTCATGGCTTTCACTTCTTTTTTAATGTCTTTGTATCACTTCACCAATCAATTTAGAACAGGTATTTTCTTCCTGTTTTGTACCTCTTTTAGAAATTCCAATAAATTGAAGAATGGTTGTGCACTGCAATGGAGATCTGTAAGGTAAAGCTGCGTACTGTACTGTACACACACTTTAAATTGTGTGCTGTTTGACTCCTTGTCTTAGCCGTGTGGATTAGCAATGAAAACAAATGAACCTTGTTATAAATGTTGTCACTCTCTCATGAACTACAGTATTTCCTGTGTTCAAAGACTACAGGACCATTACATTGTTTTTACAATGAGGTCTCACCTCAGTGTTAAAGTGAAATGTTGCATAAACATTGCATGAGTAATGAAGACACCTTGAATTCTACAAATTGGGTTGCTGAATTGCTGGGTTATGTCATACAGTACATTCCTAGCCTGAGAGAAAGTAGTTGTGTTTTAAAAGATTCATAAGTTGTTCTTTGCATTCATGTTTTCTTGTTTTAAAGTATAAAACTTAATGATATGTTATAAAAAATATGAAATTTGCGCTGTTAAGTATGCCTCTTGACCGAATGAGAATGTTTTGCTTTGGGTTCAGCAAGTTTCCTTATAACTTGTGCCAAAAAGCAGCTACTGATGGGTTATTTCCCTAATGCAACTGAAAACATCTGTTTCTTTGAAAAAGGAAACTATAAATTAATAGTCCCGTGAACTGAACTGGAAATGTTTCTAGGACACATGCCTTTTCTCAAGCCCACTGTCATACTGGAACGTAAGAGTGTAAGTTACCATATAACTGAACCTTTGCCTCCCACCAGCAGCAACATCATTAAAAGCATTTTAGAAAATGTATCATTTTTTGCATACATTTCAGTACAGAAACATCTGTAATCTCAAAAAAAATATTCCTAATAGAGGTAATGGTATTGCAGAATTAAACAGAAATACTATCTGAGTTATAGAGGTAATGGTATTGCAGAATTAAACAGAAATGCTATCTGAGTTGAAAATCTGTCATGTACTCTTTTACATATTGAATAAGTTATGCTGTTGACCATTTGAAGCATATCAGCAAATATGGAGGAAAGTGAGTGTGGATGCGTGTGTTTGGAGGGAAGGGTTCAAAAGCTTTTTTACAGAAAACTCTATTGTTTATAACTTAATTCCTTTCTTTTGAAATATGAAATCAACAGATTTGATCTTTTTGAGCTACATTGTTTTTTCAATTATTTTGCTCACTAATCATAATGGCATCATTAAGATTAGAGCATCACACCTTTGAGTAAAATACACTTTGGACTACCTCAACAAGTTAACATGTACTCATATGCTGTTAAATGTATACAGTCCTGTTGCAGAGAGATATCTGCTGTAGATATTTAGGATAATGCCAAGATGGAGATGCCTCATTTGGATATACTGTACTGATCACATAAATGGGTTATAACAATTGGCTCTGACAGTTGTTAGTCATGAGTTTAACCTGTCTATACTGTATGTATCTCTACTGTAGATGTGATAGTTGACCAATGTACACCAATATGGTGGTGACCCTGACCTTAGCCTCCTGGGGGTTTCTCCTATTTTACTTGAGCAGTTATAGCATTTGGGTTGTACACAAAAGCAGTAACACATAAGTATTGCCTTTTCCATCTTCACTTCTGCACATTTGTTAACTATTGTACCCAATATGGTGTGCTTTAAATATGCAAAAGTGCAATTCCCATGTTACCATTTGGTAACATGACTGTTTGAGCATTAACTAAATAAAATTATTTTCACCAGTAATTTGGGGATATTACTGTTTATTTATTGGAAAATGCCGTGCCCAGTATATTTGATGGATTTTTCATGCCTCACAGAATATTTTCTGTGTGATTTCTGTTTTTTTATGATTGCCTTATGAGATATACTCCAATGTACTGAGTGTGTAAGGAAAAGTTTCAGGACCTGATTGAAGCCATGTCTAAAACTTAAGCACAGTAATATTGTATGAAATAAATCTCTCAAAGCCAACATTATAATACTGCCATCATGTACTCTAGCTTCATATATACTGTACAATGTACAGTATTACAAAGGTCAGAAGCACTGTTTTTTGCTTAATGTAATTTGTTGATTTGTATTTTCATTTAGTAACTTATTTATTCAATTATTTGAAAAAAGATGTGTTTTATGGGTGGGTCACCTTTCACCTTCTTCATTTTAAAACGAGAACAGTAGATATACTGGTGTACTGTATATTCAGTGTTGATTTTGTATTTCATTGATTCATGCAGTTTCTATATATGATGTACAGTAGATTGTCAAAAAAAAAATTCTCTGTATTTTCTCCTGTAAATCATGCCAGCTTTCAGATGGCTCTGCTGTCAATTGTAATTTGATGGCAACTGTTCAGAGACTAAAAGCGAGGTAAAGAGTTACTACATATATTTTAAAGTTTATTTCTCATAAAATGAAAATAAGCTTAAATTTAATGAATGCTTCATCCTAAAGTATGTACTGTATGTTGATTTAAAAACAACCTTGAAAAATTTACAAATATGTTAACATAATTCTCTAAGTATTCTCGAGACAGATAATCTTATTTCTACTGTTTGACTTGATATTCTGTACCAGTAATACTTTATTTTCCTGTTATTTCAGTTCATTATATTTCTTAAACAGTATAGCACTATAATACTAACCCAGTAATGTTATATTAGTTCTTAGAAAGACCCAGCTGGCTTTTGAGATACTATGACATGTTATCCCATGACAAATGTCAGTCCTCTGGAGGGCATGAGAAATGCTACCCAGAGCTCTGTTACATGAACCATGCAATATCTTTGCATATACTGTATAAATGTACTGTATGCCAAGCTAAGGCAATAAAGAAAGATGTGACAATGTCTTCATTAAAACAGCTTGTATGTATACAGTAGTGGTACAAAAGGGAAACCAGATGAGAAACAATAGTTATTATTACAGTACTGTATATGTATTTTTCAGACACACAGCAGCATGAGAAAGGGCATGTGTGTGCAGATGTGTTAAGAGATACTAGTTTTTTTCATTAAAAAATGTCTTTTTTTTCCTCTTAATGCAGATTATAAAGACAACACCCTAAAAAAACAATAGAGCATATTCCTCTCCTACTGTCAAAACAGCTTTGTGCATGTAAGTATGAGACTGTCTGATGCTGACCCTGCTGCATCATCACAGGCTGTTGAAAAAGGCGTTTAGGAAGACCTGACTCTTAACCGGCACTCAGTCTATAGTAATGGAATTCTTTTTATGAATAATAAAAAAGAGTCAGTGTATATGGAGGCAGAAGTCAATTATCAAAGGGCTAAAATATTTAGCAGTGATTCCGGTCTCTGTAGAAGCAATGACAACAGCAACAGCTCAATACACTGCATCTGCTAGCATCACCATGGTAACAATAATAGTAATACGGGCAATACATTAAAAAAATACATTGATACTTACTCTAATGCAGGGGGTTTCCTCCGTAGAGGTGTGCCCATGATGGAAGCTTTCACTTGCTATTCCCTTAAAGATCTGATGATGCCTTTTCCCCTCAGAAAGATCCTCCTTCCTTCAAATTCAGCACAACACAGAATGCTTGCCAGCAGTCTGCATCTCTCAGCAAAACCTGCAAGAGGGAGAGCACTTATTGGAGGGGTGGAAGGGTGGGTGGGTAGTAATTGGTTTATACCTTTCTCTACTGGTAAAGGCAATACTATTCTAACCTTGACTGTTTAATTCCCTGTGCTGTGACAAGGAAGAGGAAAAGTGAAGTTGTAGATGCAGCAATTTTTTAAACTCGATGTGTATTTAGATGGAACGAAGGAAGAGGGGATTTTTAGTGTCACTGCTGGATAAGTCTGCCATTTTAAAATTCCAGATGACATTGAAGTACTGTACCATATGAAGCACGTGATTTTAGGGTTTTACATGTCTTTCGAGTTATTCGAGTGTTGTGCATATTGTCTACTTCTTAGGTGTACAGTATGTTGTGTATGGGACACTCAGACATGCTTTTCTAACTAACAAGGTGAGCATATTAAGAAAGAATGTCTTTATAATAATTTGGATTAAAAACATTAATAAATGCTGCAAAGATCCCAGTCATGTAAGATACTAGCCATTTTAAAAGTTGAATTTTGTTAAGCCAATTATTGATTAACAATTGATCTCTATTATACCTGTATAAGTACTATGTAATTATGCCTCATTATACTGGTTGCACTGTACCATGGGTGTGTCAATGTTTTATTAACTATATCAATGTATTAATATATATATATTAAGCGCTTTGAGAAGCCACCTTTAAAGGCGCTATATAAAATAACATTTTTATTATTATTATATGACTGTTTAATTTAATTTAGTATATCTTTCTCTGATAAACAAAAGACTCAATTTCCACATATGGAGGATTTTTAAATCTGCCTTCATTTTCAGTAAAGAGAATGAGTGTTCTCCCTGTTGGGAGTGCAGTGAAATTTGGAAATTAAAAATGGGAATAGAAATGCTTCAAGGAAGGAATTCAACTCTATAAATTCTAATAATTAAAAATTCCTAACAAAATCATCAAAAGAAAATTAAAGTCTGTCTTAATTGTAGTTGTGTATTTATTGTAAAGAGATTTTTATTGCTATCCTTTGATGCTTTTTGGATTGTTTTGAGAGCTTTTAACTTTAAACTAAAGCTGCCTTTTGCCATACCTATCTTTAATTCCACCACAGGATGTGATTTGTTGAGAATGTTATAAAAATGATATATTTCTACAAATTATTTTAACCCTAACTGAAAATGAATATTTTTAAATTTGTTTTTAACTTCCCATAATCAGTCTCACAATGTGTTAAAATTATGAAGTAGCCATGCTAATGTATTTTGTGAAGACAACCGACATTAATCATTTAATTTTTGAGGGAAAGAAAGTTGTATATTAAAAGTATGCAATAATTTCAATAGTTAGAATGTTTATAGGGGTTTCACTGCCAGCACTTTCCACTATTTTGATTTTAAATGTAAAAGAAAGAACAGAGGTGATGATATAATTCTGCAAATAATAAATATTTTGTTGCTTATTTTTTAAACAAATTTGTTATATTGTGCCTAAATCATGTATATATGGAGCTTTGATATCTTCTATATTATAAATAATCCACTGAACTGATGTTTTTTTTAACCTAGAACATGTTTAGATTTATTGCAGAAAAACAATGTCATGTGTACACTGTGTTCTCAGTCTGCTTTGATACAAATAGCTGTTCATTCACTCAGGGATAACAAAAATATGAACATCATGAGGGTAACAATACATTGACATTAACACTTGTTATGGTCAACTTCATAATTTAAATAAGTCTCATATAATGGCTTAATATATAAAATTCATACTCTAAAGGACAAGTAAATGTCGAGATAAGGTTTGAAATTTGTCATGTGAATTTCTACTCATTCAACAACACACACTGGCCAGGCTGATGGCTAGAGAGTTTGATAATCCCACAAGTAGACAGAACTGAGCTGGGTTCATTCGCAGCTGTGTCAAATATTCTTCCAGTGGCTTGGCAAAAATAGTAGTCCTCTTGGTGTCAAGAAAAAGAGAAGATCTGCCTAGCTTGGAGCTGAAGATGACTCTTCAAAGGAAAGGTTTTTGATTGTCTTAAATGGCTTTCCAACAGATTATGCACAAAGTACAAGTGAGACAAAGGTGTGGAGAAACTGTTGTCCCCATAGGATGTACCTGCTACTGCTGAATATTCGACGATACTTGTTAACAAATCCAACCGTATAAATTTAGTTGATCAGGCAAAATTACAACTGGCAGGTGAGTTTTTCCTGTGGCAGAGAATGTGGCAGAATCCTGTTTACATATGCACTCACTCTCAGCTTGGTGTCTTGAAGAAAAGAAAAAAGTTGAAACGCAGACACTGATGGTTGGCTACATACAGTACATGGCTAAATATTTTTTCAGATTGCCAGGTATGGATTGAAATTGCAAAGCTGAAAATTAGATATGCAGTACCTTTAAAGGTGCTTGGTAGTGATGTTATAAGGTGTAGTGCTCTTCCCCACCCTGCAGGTTCCTTATTGGTTGATCATCTATTAAATAATTGACTGGTGACCTGTAGCTTTGTCCCAATCCAGCTAGAATTTCTCTTGGGGCACTGATACTGGGCCCTTCATCACTTGAGGCTTTTAAAGATTAAACCCAATTTATGAGGTCCTTGGTTGTTTTTAGACTCAGGACCTGCTGCTTATTAGGGAAATCCATCTGACATGCACTCCTATTAGCTTGAATCAGTGGATATAAGCAGCACCAGGTTTGATGTCCATTCAAGGCTACAGAAACATTTTTTAAATATTTCCCAACACGTAATTCCAAGTGTAAAAAAAAAAACATGCTGCTGCAATACTATTATCAGAAGATATTTGGACCTTGTGATTACTGACAAATCTGTGATCACACAGACTATATGTCGAAAGTGTTAAGAGATGAAATTCAGATGTGGTATAGATAGAGTATGTTGCACAATCTCCAGTGAAACATATTATTTTTTCTAGAAACCAGCTATAGAAACAAATTGGCATAGAAAAAAAGTATCAAAAACTGACACAAGGTGCAAAGCTTGGAGAGACTTATCCAGAAACTGACAGCAGTAATTGGTACCAAAGGCAGGAATTGGTTAAGCCATAGGCAAACCAGGCGTGGTAATGTGGTAGATGTGCTAATAAAATATACTGTATCTATTTAGATTTAACTCAACATTGTTTCACGCATCTTATTGAAACTAGATTAGATTTCCTGTGACTTTAGAACCAAGCTGTAACTTATTTAAGCATTCATTTTGACTTATGTACTGACAAGTCTCTTGCTGGTGAAGCGAGCCAAGATGGTTGCCAAGGACCTGGTTAATAAGTTATGTTTCTAGCTACAAAGAAAGTGATACTTTGTATTGCCTAAGCTTTCTCACTTTGAGGCATTACTAAAATATATCACTTTAAGGAGCAGCAAAATACCAAAACAATTAAAATGAAGGAACGTGTGTACAGTAATTCGTTGATTTAATTTATTGAATAGCTTTCATTATTGAAAGACATTAAGCCATCTGTAACTGCCTAATGAGTAACCAGCAAAAAAACAATAGATTATGTACAATATAGTTATAACAATTTAATTATTTGAATTTTCTTTATACTGTATTTGTGTAGCTGCAAAACAATTAAAATAGTCTCTATGATTTTATATGTTAGATCCATTTGAATACAAAAATCACTCAGTACTGTATGTGTGTTTCTATATGTAATTTAACTAGTTTAGCAGCATCAACATCTCTTTGCATCTAGAGATACAGAAGTTCCTTATAGGTGCTTTCTGCTACCATTATACTACCAGGCTGATTACTGATGTGAGGTATAGCTTCACTCTAAAATATGTCTCTAGTACTGCCAGAATAATAATAAAAAATCCACTTTAAAGGAACAAACCTCTTTACAGTTAACAGATTTTTTTCAAAAGTCACAAAAGTAACACTGCTGCAGTCTGTTAATGCAGAGTGAATAGTCAATAATCCTTATATGCCACAAAGAAGTCTTCCTATTGAGAATGTACAGTAACTATATTTTTTTCAATGATACTGTCAAGACTATTGATCTTATACATCACATCAAATACCCAATAATATTGATGGAAGCAAGCTGTCACAACATTTATGTTTAGATTTTGTAGGGCTGATTTTGTGTTATACAATGATTTTAAACTTATTTCTAAATACAAATTTAGATGTATTCATATGCCCAATTAAATACAAGCAAAAACATCATTTTCTATAATCATGAATGAGTTATGGGTTCGTTAATGTATTTTTTAAAACAATACTAAAAAATGGTATACTGTAATCATTATAGGATTGCACAAAGCAAAGTCTTATTTGTCATTAATAATTAACTGAATTCCAGAAAACATGAGGGTCTTGCTTATTGGCATAATCAAATATCCTTTTAAACAGAATCCAACAAAACAAAGGTCAGATAGCTCTCCACATACTGCAGACAAATGGTCATTGACCTCCATATGTGGTGGATACAGTAAGTATAAAAAAGAAACACACTAAAAATGTAATTCTACCTCATTCCTCTGCAGTATCTGTTATGATGAAATTTATGACTACTGGTATAGGGTCATAACCTGTGAGAAAGAGGATCCAAGTGAATCTTGCCATCACATGCTGTGAGACTTCTTCAGGATATAAAGTGTCAAGAACTACCATTTGATGTCACCTGTATGACATCTTTGAAGATGACATTAATGACTGGGTTACAGATGTTTCTTCTGAGGTAACTTGACTTTCACTAATTGTCTGAATGACAATTAAACCATTTAATAAGATCAGATGAAATGAAAATTGTTAACTCTAGACATGCCTATCAGCATTATGTTTGGCTTAAAATAACTAATACTGTACATAGATTAACTTAATTACAATAGTACACACACATACAGAAGTACAAAGAAAGTGACTATGTGTACTATAGGATGGTAAGGGCAAGAAGTGACTGACCTCAAAAAAGGTCACATGATGAGGGTGTGCAGCAGCTCTTTGTTACCAATCTCCCCACCAAGAAGCTTTAACTCGG